TGCTCAATGACTCTCTCCCAGAGCTTCATTGTATGGCTCATTAGCTTAATACCCCTATAGTTCATGCAATTTTGTACGTCGCCCTTATTCTTGTAGATAGGCACCAAAGTACTCTTTCGCCACTCAGTTGGCATCTTCTTCGTTTTCAAAATCCTATTGAAAAGGTCAGTGAGCCATGCTGTACCTGTCTCTCCCAAGACTTTCCACACTTCGATCGGTATATCGTCTGGGCCCACTGCTTTTCTATGCTTCATCTTCTTTAAAGCTATAACCACTTCTTCCTTCCTGATTCGACGATAAAAAGAGTAGTTTCTACTCTCTTCTGAGTTACTCAACTGCCCTAGAGAAGTACTCCTTTCATGTCCTTCATTGAAAAGATTATGAAAATAACCTCTCCATCTGTCTTTGACCGCATTCTCTGTAGCAAGAACCTTTCCATCCTCATCCTTGATGCACCTCACTTGGTTTAGGTCCCTTGTCTTCTTTTCCCTTGCTCTAGCTAGTTTATAGATATCCAACTCTCCTTCTTTGGTATCTAGTCGCTTATACATGTCGTCATAAGCCGCTAACTTAGCTTCTCTCACAGCTTTCTTCGCCTCTTGCTTCGCTCTTCTATTCCTTTCACCATTTTCATCGGTCCTGTCCTTGTATAAGGCTTTACAACATTCCTTCTTAGCCTTCACCTTTGTTTATACCTCCTCATTCCACCACCAAGATTCCTTTTGGTGTGGGGCAAAGCCCTTGGACTCTCCTAATACCTCTTTTGCTACTTTTCGGATACAACTAGCCATGGAATCCCACCTTTGGCTAGCTTCCCCCTCTCTATCCCACCCACACTGGGTGATTACTTTCTCTTTGAAAATGGCTTGTTTTTCTCCTTTTAGATTCCACCATCTAGTCCTTGGGCACTTCCAAGTCTTGTTCTTTTTTCTCACTCTTTTGATATGTACATCCATCACCAACAAGTGATGTTGATTAGCCAAGCTCTTTCCCGGTATAACTTTGCAATCCTTACAAGTTATACGATCCCCTTTCCTCATTAGAAGAAAATCTATTTGTGTTTTTGACGACCCACTCTTGTAGGTGATCACATGTTATTCTCTCTTCTTAAAGAAGGTGTTGGCTAAGAATAGATCATATGCCATTGCAAAATCCAAGATAGCTTCCCCATCCTCGTTTCTCTCCCCAAAACCATGGCCACCATGAAAATCTCTATAGTTGCCTGTCTCCCTGCCCACGTGTCCATTTAAATCTCCTCTTATAAATAACTTCTCCGTCTGGGCAATTCCTTGCACCAAGTCTCCAAGGTCTTCCTAAAATTTCTCCTTCGAACTTGTATCCAACCCTACTTGAGGTGTGTACGCACTAATGACATTGATGAGTTCTTGTCCTATTACAATCTTGATTGCCATGATTCTATCTCCTACCCTCTTGACATCTACAACATCTTGTGTCAAGGTCTTGTCCACGATGATGCCAACACCGTTTCTCGTTCTATTTGTGCCCGAATACCAAAGTTTAAACCCTGAGTTTTCTAGATCCTTTGCCTTAAGACCAACCCACTTAGTTTCTTGTAGGCACATAATATTTATCCTTCTCCTCACCATAACTTCCACTACTTCCATAGATTTTCCCGTTAAGGTTCCTATATTCCACGTTCCTAAACGCATTCTACTCTCTTGAACTCTACCCTTCTGTCCTAGCTTATTCACCCTCCCCCGTCCAATAGGATCAAAGTACTTCTTTTGTGTGTCCTGTGTAAAGTTGATAGGAGCATATGCTCCCAAACAACGTTGAGTGGAGTCGTTCGAAAAGAAGTTTCTATGGCCCCCTTGCTCATTTAACACTACATTCGGGTGCCGATGGAAATACAGTGACCCTTGCTCACTTATCACTGTGCTCGGGCCACACAGCGCGCCACTTACAGGTGACGCCCTAGCTTTAGCGCGATTTCGTTCTGGATTCATTTTCATAAGGATTCGACATAACTGTGGAGTGCCGGCTGTCGACTACCTAACGCCCTCCCCCTCCTCCTTTACCCGGGCTTGGAACCGGCAATGTAAGATAAACTTACACAGGCGGAGTTTCCTATGAAATAGAATAATGTATTAAAATGTTCGCATTGATATTTTTGGAGAATTTAAGCATGGACTAGTGCTATTTAATTTGGGGCATATTCAATGCACACATTGGTATTTTCATGGTAATTTCAGCAGGGATTAGTGCTATTCTGGGTGCATCCAATGCTTGTTATATTTAAAACGTTATCCGTACAATAGTCCATTCTTAACATGTTTTAAAATCTGCCTAAGATGTTTACTTGCATTACTTCGTCTGTCAATATTCCAGTAATTAGTCCCTTGTGTGTAAATTTATCGTCTGTTCATAACTTGATTGAAAGAAGATGGCAAATAAAATGAAAAGTAGATCATAAAACTGTGAAAACGTTGTACTGTAATGAAATATTCTAATCTCAGTTTTCCTTGCTGGACAACTATGTACATTCAGTTGACAATAACTATTCTTGAAAAATTGTGTCGGTGAGTTTATGTCCACTAGGCTGGCCATTTTCCTCTCAGCTCATAAGGGTTTTGACTTTGATGTTGTCTTCCATCACGAAGATTCATTGGACTATCAATCAATTGAACCTCCTTCAAGTGAGCCAAAAAGCGATTAAAATTGCCAAGTGCTCCTAATGCCGTTGGTGTCAAATCGTGTTGACATATATGTAGGCTCTACATATACCCCAAAGCTGAGGTGAGACCAAGGAAGGTGCCTTCACTGCAGGGGATTGTGATAACACCCATTGGATGATCGTATCCAAATTCATCTTCAGCTAGGCTTAACAAATCTTGGAATGAAGGTTGGTTGAAGTAGGACACCGGAATAATAAACCGCTTCTTCTGGCTCTCCCCAACGTAGATGGCAAGATAGCCTTTGGAACATCCAATGACTTTGAAGAAACTTGATTTTTCTTGGCATGTACAATACCAGGAAATTGGAAACCCATGGTTTTAAAATTTCTGTAAAAAGGAACAAAAAGAGTTCAAATGAATTTCAGGACAGAAAGTGCTTTGATAAGATATGCTTGGGAGTAGAAGACTTGTGTTGGTTTTCTCTTTAACCTTGGATGATATGTGCATATATAGCTAAAGCGGTATGCTGCAAGCGGTTGGTTACCTAAAATGTGTTGGAGCATTTATGTTTTTATTTAAATATTTTAAATATTTATATTTTGGTTTATTACAAACATTAAATATAAAACATAATTTGTTATCATCCTTTGATTGCAGACAGTTTTGCATTTGATTCCCTACGATTTTGCATTTTGATTGCAACCGACCGTTTTGCACCCCATAAACTCTCTTTATATCCTTACGGTTTACACCCCCCCCTAACATCTATTTATTTATATATATATGTATAAGGATACAAAAAGAGAAGGTAGTTCGGCGTGGAGTAGAAATAGTAGAAGAAAAAAGTTTTAAATATATTAATTTAAAAAGCAACATATCGAAAAGGTTTAGTTCGAAGGTTCTTCCGGTGTGCAAGGAAGAATCTTATCAGAAGAAGGTTCTGGGCTGTTTTATCCTGGGGACAACGTGGTGTTTGTGAACTGCTTGCACACTTTGGGCAGAGCCGCGAAACGTCTTAAAGAGAGCGACTTAGTCCGCGACTCATCCCAAGAATCATTCATCACTCAAGGCTTTTTCATTTTTTCGGGTAACTTCGTTCCTTTCTATTTCAGCTTACAACAATGTTAAGATGTATCAATCTGCCATGGAATCTGAAAAATATATGTATTGCTGTTAGTGTTACTCTTTAAGAACTTTGTTTTAGATATGTGGCAAATCATTGTGATTATATAATCTAATATCAAGTTACTAGTATGTCAACTGTGAATGCTTTTTGAGCTGCCTAGGTGCATTCGCTGTAGGACGAGTGAATTGACTTGGTGAATGAATCTATTTGTGATCTTTTTGCAATGTGTGTTGATATTATCAGTAGTCTTTTGATGGAGATGACTAGGTGGCTGCTGTGCTTTGTTTAAATCTGTTTTGTGTACCATTGTAAGCTTATTCTTCGATGTAATCATATGTCAAAGTTCTCATGTTTACAATTCAAAAAAAAAAAAAAATACATGAAAAATGGCGATTTGTTTTCGGTTCTAGAATGAACAGATATTTGTGGTAACCGAATTGATCTGAGCTTTACTTGAAATTGATCTGTAAATCATGCCTTCTACTAACCGAATTGTTTCTGGCATATCATATTTATTCATGGGGATATGCTACTAATGGAATGTTTAAATTGAATGTTGATAAAATGTCATAATTGAGTCACTTGATGTGATGCTCAGGTCAGTTATGGCTTTTGGATGGTTAAGGAATAAGTTGGAGCATTTATGTTTTTATTTAAATATTTTAAATATTTATATTTTGGTTTATTACAAACCTTAAATATAAAACATAATTTGTTATCATCCTTTGATTGCAGACAGTTTTGCATTTGATTCCCTACGGTTTTGCATTTTGATTGCAACCGACCATTTTGCACCCCATAAACTCTCTTTATATCCTTACGGTTTTACACCCCCCCCCCCTAACATCTATTTATTTATATATATATATATATATATGTATAAGGATACAAAAAGAGAAGGTAGTTAGGTGTGGAGTAGAAATAGTAGAAGAAAAAAGTTTTAAATATATTAATTTAAAAAGCAACATATCGAAAAGGTTTAGTTCGAAGGTTCTTTCGGTGTGCAAGGAAGAATCTTATCAGAATAAGGTTCTGGGCTGTTTTATCCTGAGGACGACATGGTGTCTGTGAACTGCTTGCATACTTTGGGCAGAGCCGCGAAACGTCTTAAAGAAAGCGACTTAGTCCGCGACTCATCCCAAGAATCATTCACCACTCAAGGCTTTTTCATTTTTTCGGGTAACTTCGTTCCTTTCTATTTTAGCTTACAACAAAATGATTGGTGATGAAGCACTGGGATGGACCCAAGTGTGAGAGAGTTTGCTGTTGGAAAATCACATGGACTTGTCTACAAGTTATCAACAACACTTCGTGAGTCGATGACCAAACAAATGCAACCCAGTGTCCTGCCTCTCGTAGTTGATGGCCTATAAAAAATCGGAGACATGCTTGACACAAGAAAATTTCCCTTGGTACTATTTCAACAGTTTTAGCATATAAAATGTGAGGACTTGATCTCTTTGGTTAGGATATAGGTACGAAAAATTGATACGTTGGTCTACAAAATAATGTGTACAAGTTGGAGAGAGTGGTCTGGAGGCAATTGAATGCGGATTGGCCAGAGACCCAGCTGCTCAAGCAATTATGTTCACATGGCTATGTGTTCCAATTTTTCAAGGACATCAGTTACGGAAAATAAAAATGATTAGTGAAGGATCGTGGCAGAGCCAAGTGCGAGTTTTCTCATGGAAAATCACATGGACTTGTCTTTCCAACTAATCAAGAAAAATATATGAGCAGAAATGAAGAAAAATAAATTCTAATTAAAGGCAGAAGCATTTGCAAGTTCACATGGCTCTGTCTTCAAATTTATCATCTCGTCAAAATACATTGGTGGTGATTGAGACTATATATCTGTTGAAGTACTGCATTCAGTCCAGCAATATTTCACCTAAAATACTGAAGTTGAGGTGGAAAACAGCACCATGTGATCAGTGTCCCTTCTATGCCCTATCAAGATGGTCTTAATCGTCACCAAATATTTCTTTCAACAGAGGACAATTCCTACATAAATCTATTAACTATATATATTTCATGAGACTTCGATCGCCTTCCATTCAAGTCTCTGAATATTCTCAACTCTTCTCTTCTTCTTGCTCCAATAAACTTCCACCGGGCGCATTTCTCTAGAGAGACATAAACCATGGGTTTCCGTCGTCCAGGTGTAACTCATGCAAAGAAAATTCTTCGGCAGTCATTTTCAATTCAAGTCTAGGAGGTTCATATAATGTAGCAGATGTCCCAAAAGGTTATTTAGCGGTTTATGTTGGGGAGAACGAGAGACAGCAGTTTATCATTCCTGTATCATACCTCAACCAACCTTCATTCCAAGACTTGCTAAGTGATGCTGAACAAGAATTTGGATTTGATCATCCAATGGGTGGTCTAACAATTCCCTGCAGACAAGATATCTTCATTGATATTATTTCTCAGTTTTGAATACTTTAGGATTACATGAGTTGCGTTACATTTTTGTAATGCAAAATTTTCAACATACTGTACAAATAATTTTCCCTTTTTGTGAGTCCAAATTGTACTTTCTGAAGGATGATGTAAATGAAGATTATAATTGTAGAGAATGTTGTTAGCCTCTCCTGCTATGTTATCCCCATAATTGTAAATACGGAAAGTTCACATGGTATTTGAGCCTTGGTCCTTTTTCTTTCCATGGCTTCCGCAACCGCATCTTCCTTTCCTAATATCTCTACCTTGGCTTCTGTCAAACTATCTAAAACAAATTATCTTCCTTGGGAGAGTCGTGTGAAGCAATTTTAAACTGGCCAAAATTTTTGGCGTTTTGTTGATGGTTCGTATCTGTGTCCTCGTCTGGTTATCACCACCACTGCTACAGTTGCCTCCCCTGCTGCCTCTGCTGATTATGATACTTCTACGGTTCTTCCACCAGTGGTCACTACTTCTCCAAACCCTGAGTACTTTGCCTGGTACTAGACTGACCACTCTCGTTAGTGTGCTCTGTGCTACTCTAACAGAACCTATTCTCTTCCCTTCATTCCAACTTTATTAATAAATAATAACAAAAGTTTATTAGGGACAGAACCGGGTGACTTGGCATTCTCCCTAATAAACTATTGTTATTAATAAAAGTTGGAATAAAGGGAGAGAACAGGTTCAATAAGAGTAGGCTTTCAAGAAACCTTCAGTCCAGTTGCAAAGCCAGTCACTGTTAGAGTTTTGCTTACACTTGTAGTTTAGTACAATTGATTTTTAAACCAATTAGACATAAGCCATGCCTTCCTTCATGGAGATTTAAAGGTGGATGTCTATATGCAACAACCTCCAGGGTTTGTTGATCCAACATCTCCAAGCCATGTTTGCAAGTTAGCAAAATCCCTTTATAGTCTCAAACAAGCTCATAGAGCTTGGTTTGACAAACTATTCCAATTTCTTCTCACTCTTGGATTCAAGCAATCTTCATCAAATGCATCTCTGTCTGTTCTTAATGTACCTGCTGTCATGCCCTGATCCCGACATACGTCCAAGATCGACAAGTGACATCACCAAATACTTGTATATCTGACATACCTCATCTCCGGGATATGGCAAATCACAACTCGAAAATCAAATTGCAAAGTAATTTTTCGTTTACTTTATGGCTGCATCTAACCTCCTCGTTAGATTGCCTACGTACCCTCAATAGGGATCAAGCCATTCATAGTTCACTTATCACAAAATCAGACCTTTATTCCACTAAGTTCAAGTAGAAAAGCATAGCATTCCTATAACATTTATTATAACCTGACAACATGTAATTCCTGGACTCAGGCTACATAACCAACCCCCATGAAAACATGATTTCTCTCCTATCCAACATATAAATCATTATGTCTCATCATGATATCGCAATTCACAACATACATCATATTTAAGAACCGATGAAACACAAAACCATTCTCTAGCCGCATTAAGTAATTAATTTGGTCAAAGTAATGACAATTATTCCCATATCTTCTAAATTCATACTTTATGAAATCATAATCGAATCGTAGAAAATCCTGAAAGAGTCACTCAAACGTCCAACATCTTTTCTAACTCAATTCACAAGATTCTTGAAACCATTGACACAAATATATATAAAACTAAAGCTAGAGTGACATAGTTAGGCCAAGCCTACTTCTCCAAATAATGGGATTTTAGACTACTCCACAAAATTTAACTACCTCGAGTTCCAGACCACTCAACGGAACCAACTAAATATGATCGCCTATCAAATGTACCAAGTAAAACTAATCATCGTCACCTCTAGAATGCGTATGGTCCTGCATCGCAGATATACCAAGCAGAACCATAGGCATAATCTCATCGTGCAGACAGTGATCACCCATTGCAGATATATCAAGCATGATCACCCCTGAATACATATAGTTCCCGTTCATAGATACACCAAGCAGGACCACATCCTAGCTCTAGGTAGTGACCACCCATCGTGGATATACCAAGCATGATCACTCCTAGCATGCGTATGGTTCCCCATCGCGGATATACCAAGCATGATCAACCCTAACAGTCTCCCATCGTGGATATATCAAGCAGGACTGTATCATATAACTCTAGGTAGTGATCACCTATCACAGATATACCAAGTAGGCCTGGCAAACGGATCGTGTCTGTCATGTTCGTATCGTTTTCGTGCAACAACTATTATTTTAATTGGTCATGCCACATAAATATTACTTGAAAACATTAAAACACATTTGTCGTTTAAGTACTACATATACACTCGAAAATAAGAGCCCAATAAACAAACAAACATACACTTCTAGTCTATTACAAAATATTACATGTGCAAGGATATGCAAAAGGAAAGAGTTTTTGTTTTCAAGGTTGTGAAGCCTTACTCAAAAGTTTAAACCTTGCCAATGGAACTCAATCCTTGCATGTTATTCCTTTTACAAAATCCTCAATTTTCATCTATCATCATGACATAAGATTTTGTGGTATCCACTAGTGTAAATATTTTAAATTGAAGATCGAATTCATTCATTGTATTCATAACGGGTCAAGGAGTGTAGCTGTAAAAAATCATCAAAATCAAAGTTAAAATAACCATTAAATTGTGATATGTGATTGATAACCGTTGAAATTTTTTGTCTCATTACTTGATCTCTGAATGTTTATTTTTTGCGATTTTTGGCGTATGTGATCTTGAAGCATATATAAACAAGTTTGACGGTTGGATCATTGAAATTAGTTTCGTAGAATGTGTATCCCATCAAAACGATAGATATACTTTATACTTTCATTGAGTAGAACATAAGATTTTGTGGTATCCACTAGTGTAAATATTTTAAATTGAAGATCAAGTTCATTCATTGTATTCATATAGGGTCAAGGAGTGTAGCTGTAAAAAATTATCAAAATCGGAGTTAAAATAACCATTAAATAGTGATTTTTCATTGATAACCGTCGAAAAGTTTTGTTCAGTTACTTGATCTCTAAATATTTATTTTTTGTGATTTTTGGCGTATGTGATCTTGAAGCATATACAAACAAGTTTGACAGCTGGATCATTGAAATTAGTTTCGTAGAATGCGTATTCCATCAAAACGATAGATTCACTAACTCTTGGGGGCGTTTGTTTGCCCTCACTAAGTGGGACTGGACTGGACTAGACTAACTGTTAGTCCAATACTGTGTTTGTTCCATGCTGGGACTAACATTAATGAGACTAAAGGGGACTAGCATGGACAAAACCCTTCACTAAGAGGTCTTAGCGAGACCCCCCAATAACCATGGGACTAGCTAAGACTATCCTCTCTCGTCCTCGTCATGCTCAACAACCACTCCCGATAAACTCCTCGTCATCTCCGGTCACCTAGATCATAATAAAATATTAATAATTTATATATTAAATAATATAATATTAAAATTTGTTATTATCCAGCTTCTTAGTCTAACACTACACCAAACGCTTCACTAAATTAGTCCAGCTTAGTCTAGTCTAAGCCAATCCAGCTTAGTCCTTGAAGCTAGTCCAGTCCGAGATAGTCCGGCGCAACAAACGCCCCCTTATAGTTTATTTATACTTTCATTGAGTATAACATAAGATTTTGTGGTATTCACTAGTGTAAATATTTTAAATTGAAGATCAAGTTCATTCATTGTATTCATATAGGGTCAAGGAGTGTAGCTGTAAAAAATCATCAAAATCGAAGTTAAAATAACTGTTAAATAGTGATTTTTCATTGATAACCGTCGAAAAGTTTTGTCCCGTTACTTGATCTCTAAATGTTTCTTTTTTGCAATTTTTGGCGTATGCGATCTCGAAGTATATGCAAACATGTTTGATGGTTGGATCGTTGAAACTAGTTTCATAAAATGCATATCCCATCAAAACAATAGATTCACTAACACTTAGGAGTTTATTCATACTTTCATTAAGTATAACATAAGATTTTGTGGTATCCACTAGTGTAAATATTTTAAATTGAAAATCGAATTCATTCGTTGTATTCATATAGGGTCAAGGAGTGTTCCTGTAAAAAATCATCAAAATCGGAGTTCAAATTATTATTAAATCGTGATTTTTCATTGATAACCGTCAAAACGTTTTGTCCCGTTATTTGATCTCTGAATGTTTATTTTTTTTTTATTTTTGGTGTATGCGATCTTGAAGCATATACAAACAAGTTTGACGGTTGGATCGTTGAAATTAGTTTCGTAGAATGTGTATCCCATCAAAACGATAGATTCAATAACACTTAGTGTCACATCCCGGCCCAGGGTGGACCACTTCCCCGGGCCCGATCCACCACCGTAGCACGATATTGTCCGCTTTGGGCCCCGACTACGTCCTCACGGTTTTGTTTTTGGGAACTCACGAGCAACTTCCCAGTTGGTCACCCATCTTGGGAGTGCTCTCGCGCGCTACTTGCTTAACTTCGGAGTTCCGATGGAACCCGAAGCCAGTGAGCTCCCAAAAGGTCTTGTGCTAGGTAGGGATGAGAATATACATTTAAGGATCACTCCCCTGGGTGATGTGGGATGTCACACTTAGAGTTTATTTATACTTTCATTAAGTATATCATAAGATTTTGTGGTATCCACTAGTGTAAATATTTTAAATTGAAGATCGCATTCATTCATTGTATTCATATAGGGTCAAGGAGTGTAGCTGTAAAATATCATCAAAATCAGAGTTAAAATAACCGTTAAATCGTGATTTTTGTTGATAACCGTCGACAAGTTTTATCCCGTTACTTGATCTCTGAATGTTTGTTTTTTACAAGTTTTGGCTTATGCGATCTCGAAGTATATGAGAACATGTTTGACCGTTGGATAGTTGAAACTAGTTTCGTAGAATGCATATCCCATCAAAACAATAAATTTATTAACATTTAAGAGTTTATTCATACTTTCATTGAGTATAACATAAGATTTTGTGGTATCCACTAGTGTAAATATTTTAAATTGAAGATCAAGTTTATTCATTGTATTCATATAGGGTCAAGGAGTGTAGCTGTAAAAAATCATCAAAATCGAAGTTAAAATAACCGTTAAATAATGATTTTTCATTGATAACCGTCGAAACGTTTTGTCCCGTTACTTGATCTCTAAATGTTTCATTTTTGC